TGTGTAGTTTCTGCTAGCTTCCCATGGTAGAAAACCAACCCCGAATGTCGGAAGACCCGATTCTTGAGGGTTCTTCTTTGTGATTTGAGTCACCCCTGTTTTGAGAGTTTTGTTTGACAACAAAAGGAACAACTATCTCCGCTTCCCCCTGATTTGTGGCTTGGATTGGTGGCTAGGAACCAGGGCTTCAAATCCGAAGCACTAATCCAAAGCAACAACTAAGGGTTACCTGAACGGTGCTGGTGGTTGCCAGTAGTGTAAATGGGAACCCCCTCCTAAACCGCCAAAACGGCTCCAACCTACCAATTCGAGGTGAGCTGAACCATTCCCTTCCCAAAAAAAAACACATGGGTGGCTCGTCACTTGTTAAGACTCGGAGCCCCCCATTTTGGCGCAACGGTGTCCCTTTCCCTTTAAACCAACCCCAAAAAAGGGTACCACACCTTCAAGACGCAGCCACACACCACCTTTCCGGGTTCCTACTCTGGCTGCACGAAACCCTGCACCAGCCAAGAAACCCTGGTTTCTGATGCTTCTCTTGCACATGCCAACAAACCATGGTTTCAACCATGGTTCCAAAGTGCGCTATGGGTCTTGTCCATGCACGGTACCTACCACTCTTCTCCCAAACAAAAACGAAACCACGACGCGCATCCGAAGGCCGAAGGCCGACAGTCTTCCATTTGCGTAATTAAGCCCCCTGGAATAAGACAAAATGCGCATATTTCCAGTAGTGATTGATTCCTTTTAAAAACCAACAAGGGAAAATAAAACAAATTTATTCAAGAAATGGAAGCCAATTGGACCGAGGGCGCCAGCGCCCAGGACACGTTGGCCACATCCCGACTTTGCAGCTGCGACATCTTCAGGCGCACGCAGCGCCGGAGCTTCAGCACGGCGTCCTCCAGCGAAGAAAAAATGCACGCCGAGTCCGGAGAAACAAGTGAGGCTTGTGGTTGCTTTTGTCTTGCGGCCAAAAGACAAGGTGAGGGGGTTTGGAGGGATGTCTTTGGAGGTTCAGGGAATTTTGACGGAGCTTGTGAACTTGATGGAACTTTGAGATTAATAGAAAAGAGAGCCCAACCACAAAACCTAAGGGCTCAAGACCAGCATTTGGACAGTCACCGTGGCGATCCGAGTCCGACAACGACTCCTTGGGCCCTGACCAATCCACGCCATCGGAGGGGGGATGGCTGCAAATCTATTACATAAAATATAAAAAAAATACGGGTTTTGGCTGGGTCTGTCTTGTTTTAAAAACAAACGGGCTCTCCGGAGCTAATGTCATCACCCGTTGCTCTCTATGTGATTTCATTCTTCCATTGTGGGCTTGGCGGGCGAGAGGTCCAAATATAGCCATATACATATATTTATACACACACCTATACAACTATGCATATATTGACATACGTATGCATTGTTCAACACATATTCGATAAATTATTTACACCATATCAACCCTGGCCATAACATGAGTTCAATCAACACTGAAGCTGAGGGTTCTTGCTGCATGAAACCAGAGCAACACGAGCCCTGCTCCCCTGCATAAACTATCTGCAAATTTTACTATAATTCCAAAAGCTGAATTCAAGTGAAGGACCTTTATCATGGTGAGCTCGTGATAAAACCGGCAGATCCATGTCGAACGCCGTCTCGCTGGATCCTCGTGCTGCCACGCGAGCACCGCGAAGCTGTAGAGCAGCGTGGAGATGTCGGAGGGCGTCAGCTGCTCCGCCGGCCGGCGGATGACCTGCAACGTGTCGAGCCAACGGCCTGGAAGCCGATTGGCCCCCATTTTGACTCAGTTCCCGGGTAGGTTGGCAAGAAAAAATACCCAAGCTCTTGGTTTACGAAGCGGCCTTCCCAAAACGTGTAGTCCAGGAACCCAGGAAGTGAGTTGAGGATTGGGGATTGGGCCCTTTAAGGGGCCAAGGGCAAAACAGCGACGTGGGCCGCCTGTGGCCAGCATAACTGTAGTAGAGAGTCATCGAAACAAAGGGTTTTCTCCGCGCCGCGGCGCTGTGGGGTGCTTAGGAATACCATGGGGGGACTTTGCGGGGGGTTAAGTATGGCAACAATGCTCGTTAGCTTCCTGCTCCCCTGCTAAAAGTTTAAATTTTAGTGGTTTAATGGAAAACCCAATAGTTGGCAACAAGTTAAAGTCCGAACATGCAAGCAAAATGCACCACACAATATACAGCAACGTAGGTTGTCAGGTGAGTATTGCTGGTTAGACCTGAGCACCATCCAAATAGAATTCCAAGGGCCCGTTGGACACGCGTTGATGCCCGTTGCCGATACCGTCCGAGCATCCAGCCCCCAGCGTGCTTGAACACGGCTCTCCTGCTTTGGCCCCACGAAGCCTAACACAAGGGTCAAACACGTGGAGCTTCACGCTTGCAGAGTGAAAACACCAGGGATGAACAAATGCCCCGCAAATACCAAGCCCCAAGTTTTCCTCTGCCTTCCAAAAAGCAAATGCAAAAGGGAGCCATCCGCCACAAATCTGCCACCCAGCTTCCCTCCGACGCTTCGGCCGCCCGCCTCTTCGCTGATGCAGGTCAGAGCCTTGATGTCGCGGTACTTGATGGCGGACAGGCCCCAAATCCTCCGCGACTGAAAGCGGAACGACCCGGACACTTCCTGGGTGGATAGCCTTAAAAAAGGTCAAAAGTGCTTGTTTGCCACTACAATGGTCTTCCCAAAAAGTGTAAAGGAAGTCCAGGAAATCGGGAAGTGAGGGAAAGGGGGCACACGGATTGACAAGGGAGCAATCTCACCTTCATAACAAGGCTGGGGAATGCTCTGGAAACTGATGACAGGATTTTAGTTGAAAAAAAAGTCGCGGAAAAGGAAGTTACTGGGGCCACCAACGAAGCAAACAAGTAGCTTCAACTGAACAAGTGGGTAGCACCAGTGGCCAAACTCCAGAGCGGGCCCTCCCCTTCAAAAGCCTCCCATGAGGCGGAATCTCCTGCTGACATACAGAACCCAGGCTGCCACGAAAAAAATCCGCCGAGCCTCCAACATAGCAACTGGAGGGGGTACCTGGAAGATCAACTTCTTGTAGGCCCCCAAGGTTGGATGCAATGGCAACGTGGTACCGGTCACTTCACTCCGATCCATCAGCTCGTTCAGCGCGAGCCTTTCTCGCAAATTCAAAAAGCCTTTTCTGGGCTGCTTTCCCTTGACGGAGCAGGGGTATCATAGCCAGTGAATCCCAGAAATCCGTTTTTTGCCCATGTAAACCATGCGCGAGTTTCCTTCTGAACATTTGGGTAACCAAGGACTCGCCACCCTTGAAAACCCCAAAATTGTGGTTTTTCCAGGGATGGCAAGCCAATGGATCTGACCAATCCACCCAAAGGCTCCTGGCTTCGGCTTTCAATGGAAGACCCGACCCCTCTATTAGACAATCAATCGAATTGGAGCCTCTGGGCACCAAAAACCTCAAAGTTGTGGCTTTTCAAGGGATGGTAAGCCAATTGCCTCTCACCAATCCAACCACAAAAACGCAAAAAGTCTCCGAAACGCGCCCCGCCATCTGCAGCTGAGAATCACGTTGGAGAGGCCCTGCGGGGAGAACCACTCAATCTGGCGCATCACCTCACTTGGGCCATGGACTCTGACGATGAATTCCAGACCCTGGGCACTGCAGACAATAATTATTGGATGTGATGTCTACCTGAAACATGAGATATGATATTGCCTCAACATCGCGAGTCGTCATTGCCGAAAAGAATAAGCTGTTTGAGGGTCCAATCATTTTTGAAGGGGATTCTCAAAATCATTGCCCAGCAAAACCTCAACTGGTTTATTACCAATGGTTCAAAACGTTGTTGGTTCAATAAATCATCCATGATGATTCAACGGTTCTCATTGCCAATGGTTCAAAACCATGCCTGGTTTATCAGAGGCGTTTTAAGCCAGTTGTGGTTGAAGAGGAAAACACCAGCCCCCAAGGCATGAGAGGTTGCTCTCATGCCGCAGTGGATTTTTGGACAGGCAATCGATTGCTACCCCGTGAAATCGGTGGAATTCAGAAATGGGCTGGAAGTTGTTTTTCCCCATTTTTTGCGGGCACGGGAAACTTGCAATTGGGTAGGCACACACCTTTTTTGAGGGTTCGCATATGACAAACCCCTTTCGCGAGCGAGCCCTTTCGCAGCCTAGGAAAATGTGACACTAAAATGCTCTTCCCAGAAGGTGACTGAAGTCCAGGAACTCAGGAAGTGACATGACACTCCTCACGCATGTTCAAATTCGGGGTTTTGGAACGTCGCTCTTGAAGAGAGTCCGGCCAGACCTGAAGCCTTGACAGCAAGCCCTGCTAAGTTCACAACCCCACTTCACAGAAGAAGGCACCAGAAGGGCAAAGCATTGTTTCTTTCCACCAACAAAAATCAAGGAAGTCCACCTCAGTTGACGAAAACCAACACCCAGAAGTTGGGCAAAGCACAGTTCCTTTCCACCGATCGAGTTTCACCCGGGCCTTTGGAAGGTCGAAACTAAACACTCACCTGGTTAGAGGACCTAGAAATATATCCTTTTGGAACCTTTACAAGTGGACCAAAAAGGGAAAGCCAAAAGCTTGAAGGTTGGCCTTGAGCTGAGGAAAAAAAATGGCCTCCCAGTTGATGACCCGCAGGTGCTCGTTGACCTTGTGCTTCAGCGTGCCGTAGGCCCACAAGGTGTTGGACAGGTCCTGGTGAGAGCCGCTTACGTTTGCAGCCAGCTCCCTTGGGCCCGGGTGGGAAAAAAAACGAGGACCTGAGAATGCAAACCACCATTAAAACTCACTGGCTGAGTGGATGGCCCAGAAAAAGTCCAAACTTTCTATTTACCATTAAAATGGTCTTCCCAAAAGGTTTAAAGTTCATGAACTCAGGAAGTGAGTAAAACCATGGGGGGTCACATATAACCACCATTTGCCTCAGGATTGTCATCCAAATTGGGTCAACCATTCTTTTGGGGTTTGAACCCCAGGGTACGGTGTATGCGGGACCCAGCCATGGCGTCTTGCAGAAACTCGGAACCACAAATAAGGGGCGTCTCTCTTCTGCAGGAATCGGACCCCGGAAATGGCTTGCAAGGCTTTCTTTTGGCTTACTAACAGAAGCCCTTTTGGTAAGGGGAATCCAAGAAGGACACACCCATTAAGGGGAAACCGCTCTTTTGAGCAACATGGGAAAAATGAGGGAAACAAAAAAAAAAACGGCGTGGAAGTCTTCCCATTTTTTCGGTTTCCCCGGATTAAAAAAAAAAAGCCGAGCCCCCAAAGGAGGGGCGATCCATCGGGTTGACATCCCTCGGGGTCCTGCGGGCAACACTCCGCAGATCGCTTCGCCATCTCAGCACCGCTGCAGTCCATCCAGTCCTCGCCACTTTTGGGCGGGGTGCAAGGCCCGGGAAAAGGATCCCGGAGGAGAAGTGGGATCCTTCTGAGAAAGTTGAGTTTTCGACTGGAAAACACACAGATTTCCCGTGAAATCGATTCCCTTTAAAGACAACAAGGGAAAATAATTACGACATGCTCTTAAGCAAATGAAAGCCTTGAAATGCTGAGCTGGGTCACAATCAAAACCGATCGGTATGAACATTCTCCACGAACCACGTAAAGAATGAAACATTTGCGGCCGCACCCATTCATCGTTGGGATTGTCCCTTGCGAACCTTCATCTATTGTGGCTCCAGTTGCCCAGTTCGGACCTGGATAAAGGTGATCATTTGTTGGAACCTCACATGGCTCGGGACACAGATGCTTCTCTTGCAAAGCAAACTGACTAAACGAAACGAAAGGGGACCACGCTAAAAAAGGGATGCATCAAGTCAACGAGGATCAACCTCATGTTTAGCAAAGTGACCTGGAGCGATCTACTGCTCTGAAGTGATCATTTCCCAACTTCAGGTTTGCGGTGAGTGACTTCCGGGAAGCAACTGAAGTGAAAGGAAAGACACATGTTCTCGTGACTTTCATGCCCCCTTGATTTGCGGTAATGACCCCATGTGTACAGGGTCATGGAGACTCCAGGTACCTCTAGATCAAGAGACGCCCTCAAACAGAAGAGACTTCAAGCTACAAATTTCGGCGCAGTAACCCGATCTTCAGCGTATTTCGTGGTACACGCGGGCATTGAGGCAATGAGCCTCCCGCCTACAGGGGCCAGGTCTGCCCGCAGCTCCCCGGCTCCCGGCTCCCGGCCTCGCAAAGGATCCCCAAAGTGGCCAGGCCCCAGGTGAGGTTCGAAAGCTCCTGCCGGTGTCTGAAGCTGCGAGCTTGCGTGAAAAAGAACCGGCAAACCGGCCGGGCAAGAGCAAGTGAAAAAGATTGCAAGAGCAACAGGGATCCTTACATTATACACCTGAACATTGCCTTGTAAATGGTGGTTTCCCTTCATTTTGGTGAAAAAAAACATTTTTCAAATGGTTGCAAACATGTATCTTTTAAGGAGCCCTGAGCAAAGAAGCGGCTTCCCAAAAGAGCAAGAGCAAATGCAGTTGCAAGCCTTTTTGGAATGATGGCTTTTGTCATCCGGATCAAACTTAGCCCGGGGTCGCCGAGCCCTCAGGGAGATGAAGGAGGGATGGGCGTAGCTGAACCTCCCGATTCGCCACGTCTGACTATGGCCGACTGTTCACTCACTCAAACAGGCCCCAAAGAACAGATCCCAAACACAACCCAAGCTGGCATCAGCTCCCTCACCGCCAATGGATGCAAAGGCTTCCCCCCCCCCCACCCCCCACCCCAGGTGCCATGGACACTTAGAGTACATGTTGCACCCAAAAACCCTAAAACCAATACTCAGTCGTTCAGTGACCCTGGGAAAAAAAGGGAACTCTTTTTGGGGAAGACCACTTTTAGTGGGGCAGCCATGCAACTGAGAATACCCACAGGTTGAAGGAGGTTGCAAAAAATAGACCCCTTCAAGTCTCCACCATACCCCCCCCCCCTTCGCCGAGGGAGCGGCCGACCCGAAGCGAGCGGCTCCCTTTTCCTGGGTCCCGAACTCCGCCACCCGGGTGCAGGCGAAGCTGGCGATGGTCCTCATCGCGGCCTGAAATCTGACGAGTCACGCGAGTCACCACCCTGCAACCCAGAGGCTCTCGCAACAGGGTGAGTTTTGCATCTGGGGCATGTGGGCATTGATTCACACAAGATCGGGCTAAGAACGGCAGCATGCAGTATGCCTTCCTCGCGGACCGGCTCACAATTTCAAAGGCAACCGCTTCTGTTTACGGCTGCTTCGTCCCAGGCAGTCATTGAGTCATGGGGCGCAAAAAACATGGTACGAAACCAATCAGCACTGAAGCCCTATTGCACTTTCGGGCAAAGTGTTGCTCACCTTTCCCGTGCGCACCTCGTCCTTGTACATGACGGTAGCGCAGGCCCAAACCAGGTTGGACATGTTTTGGGGCCTGAGATGCTGAGATGCTCATTACTTCTGCCAGCCAAAAATCAACTCAGCCGCAGGTGTTGCCCGCTTTCCTGCCCCAAAGCTGGGCATTTGCCCGGAAACTTCCCTGTCAGCTCACCCTTGCGTGGCTTCGGCCACATCAGTCCTCAAACATGTCGTCAAGTCCAGAAGCAGGTATGCCATAACTTTGTTTCGTAGCAACCCGCCATACTTCATCTTTGTAGGTTTCAAAGCTTTGGAAGCTTTGGACCGCCACTTGCATTAAACAGAGTATGAACAGAACCACAAAGCACGGTCCTCAGCCGGAGTCCTTGGCTTCAAAACAGCCCCTTTTGGCCAAAAGGGCGCCCCCTTAAACAAAAACCGCACACATCCATGTCGGGTGCCTAACGCAGACCCACAAACATGTGTTCCCCAGAAGAGGCCTCCTGCCTTCCTTCCTTCCTTCCTTCCTTCCTTCCTTCCTTCCTTCCTTCCTTCCTTCCTTCCTTCCTTCCTTCCCTTTTTTTCTAACCAAAGCAGCTTGAAGCGCGGCAGCTGAATCAAGGACTCCTTGATGATGAGACGGAAGAGGGGATCGCACTGCTGCTGTAAGCGAGCGTATGCCCAGCAGGTATTGGACAAGTCCTCTGGGTGCAGGAAAGCGAAGTGACACGCAAATCAGCAGTTGGGTCTTGGCATGTTTTTTGCACTGTTGGAGGCCCGCCTTGTGTTGGAATTCCGCAACTCGCCTGCCACACCGAGTTTCCACGGAAATATTCGAGTGACGGCAATGGTCTTTGAACAGAAGGCGCGACTATGGGACCAGCCGTAGCCTTGGGGATCCGGGATCTGGGTCCCTGAGCACAAGGATGTAGATTCACAGGCTACCCCCTTTTCGGTGGGTTTCAAGGAAAACCAAGAAGAACATAGAAGCTCTTTTGGGGACCCCAAAGACACGTCCTAAATTGGTCGAGCCGCCAGCCAAAGGGATCCTTCGCCTTCGCTCGGTACTCCAGGACCCAAACTTCCCGTGGCATGCGAACTCCGCAAACTGGACGTGCAAAGAAGGACGCAAGTCACGTTTTTTTTTTTTTCTTTCCCCTGGTAAGCTGCGCTCACTGCTCAGTGAGAAAGGGGTAGAAGAAGGGGAACCAACTTGCACTTGAGTTGACTGGGGAATAGGGAGAGGCTGAAGAACTGGGGCCTGGGGTATTCTGCAGAGACGCTGGTAGCCGTTTCTGTGATCCTTGGTGGTCCCTGGGCACACTGTCGGGCACACCAAATCCCCTACCCAAATCCCAACGGCCTCACTTCCGTGGCTTTGCCAAGCTTGCGCTTTGCCACTTGTCCCGAAAAGTTCCGAAGTCCAACCCGAACGAAGCAAATGCAAAAGTCTGTCGTTTGGGTGTGGGTCCGTGGTCACTCAAAAAAGAAACACGCAGAAGACCTAGGGATTGTTTGTAGCCTTCTTTTGATTTCTGGCCAGGGCTGTGGGAGATGACCACTTCTGTAATACAAAAAGGGCTTCCCAAAGACTAACCCTTTTAGAGGGGAGATTCCCTTGTATCAGAGAAGTGGTTGGATAAACCCGTGATCCCACTGTGTTTCTGGCCCGTCTCCTGCGGTGTGTAGTCCCGCACATTGGCCTCCACATGTCTAGGCACCAACTCCAGCAGCCGCGGATACGCAAACCCCAGCGTGCCTCGACGCACGATGCACAGGGATCATGAAGTCAAAGCTCCGTTTCTTGGACCTACTGTGGATGGAGGAAATCCTGCACCATCTAAGAAACTCTGGAATGATGATTGTCTTGTAAATACCAACAAACAATGATTTCTCATGGCTTCAAAATGGTGCAGGAGGTGCCCATCCACAGTTGGGTGTGGGAAAAGCAGTTGGGTGTTGCGGGGTGCGGGGGGTCCCTTTAGTTTCCAAAGTGGTTCAAAAGGCAAACCGACAGACATGGACCCCCTCCCAACAACAATCATTGTGGAGGAATGTCATCTTGGGGTATGCCCCTTTGGGGTTTCATCTTGATTTGCAGGAGTATCCCCATTGTTATCACGGCTTCTTGAAAGAGTATGAAAACATTCATCCAGAAATAAACGTCCACTCCTCTTGTCAAGGCGTATTTACGTTGAACAACAGTTGGAAGCGTCCAACACGCTCAAGGCATATATCCCCGTGGACATGCGAGCAAACCCTACCGAGAAACGCTGAAGGGATAGCTAAGGCAACCCGAGACCACATAGAAGCAAAGCACGGTATTCACTGGGCATGTTTTGCAGGATGCCCAGTGGAAAAGACAACAGCGCTTGCGCTCAAATGAGGAGTACATATTGCTACTGCTTGCGGGCCCTTTTGGAAGCTACCATAAGGTCTAAATCGATTTGTTTGCACCAGACTGTTCATGTTTTGGTGTTGCTTTTGGATCCTCACCAGTCCCCGAAAAGCCTCAAAGAAAATTATTGTCGAACAATTTGCTGGTGCTCAGCAGGGAATGAGGGAGTGACCCCCCTAATAACCACCCCCTATGGTTTCCTTTAAGCGCACGCCAAGGTTCATTCCCTTACTCCCTACTGAGCACCGGCAAGAAAAAGGGCTGGGTTCCTGTTGGTTTCCATCTCTCGGCCACAGGTGCCCAAGGCCCAAATGGAGTTGGACACGTTCTGCGGCAGGAAGCTGTCCAGTCGCTCGGCGCCGTATCTAACAAGCGCCGATTTACAAGACGCGCACTGGTCTCGGCTTTTCTGGGGAATGGTGCGCCCGTTTTGGGCTGGAGTTTGAAGGTCCATCTCCAACAAAAAAACAACCCATCTCCAAAACAAGAACGGACAAGGTGCCACTTGGCAGAGCAGCGATTCACCCTGAAAGGGACAGAGAGAGGCAAGCGCAGCATCTCAGTTGCCATTTGCCCCAAATCCCGTGACCCACAAGAAACGACACACCCGAACGAAAACTAGGAACAACCAAACGAGAAGCGACGTGACAAATCGGGGGGCCATTTTCGGAATGCGAGATTGGTTGCAGTGTCATGTTTGGCGGTACCCAAGCGGGAACACCAAAAAAAAGACACAGATTTGAAGAATGAATCTCTTGCCACTGTGCTTCTTGGTAGGAAAGGTAGCACAGGAAAAGGAATGGGCAACGTGGACACGTGTCAGATCAACGCAAACAAAAACGGTGTTTACTATGCAAGAATAATGGAGAAAGGAACGTCTGGTAAACATGCAGACACACTTTGGTATGTACGAGCCCATTGCCTCTTATCACTATTCTTCTCGCTGCTAGCCGCTAGGTAGTCGAACATCATTTGCGTTTTGCTTTTGGGAGGTTCCCTTTGCCAATTGATGACTCCTCCACAGCGGGATGTCCTTCTGCCAATGGGCACACGCACACACAGTGCTTCAGAGTCCATGTGCGACAGGCAATCGGCAATCTAGCAAACGCGCCAAAGTTCGCCAGTCGCATGCACGTTGTGGCCTTGACCTCGAAGATCCTCAGCCAACCAACCAACCAACCAACCAACCAACCAACCAACCAACCAACCAACCAACCAACCAACCAACCAACCAACCAACCAACTGGTGAACCGGGGGCAAGCCCCAACTGAGGCTAGTCCACACAACAAAAACACTGGATCAGAGAGTACCAATTCGAAAAGACAAGCGCCACGCCCCGAGCGAGCCACCCAGGGCCCAGCGCCCCGCCTGCACAAAAGCTGCAGCAGCTCTTTGGGCCTCCGAGTTTTTTGGGCCCAAGGCCCAAGATAAAAAGCTCGCGGCAAAAAACGGGAGATATGTGTTGCTTGCGCCCTCTCCAGGTTGTAGCCCATTGTTCTAGAGGTTGATTCCTTGTCCATTCTTTTCCACCATCGTTCTTTTCAAGAACCGGGTGTTTCCCCTGGGTTTTTGGTGGTTTCCTGAAAAGAAGGATCGCTGGAAAGAATGGGGAAGGTACCCCTAGAATTGTTAGTCCAGCGCGGACAGTGCATGCATAGCTCCCCAAACTCATTGGCACTGTGGCCAATTCACATAGGAGGAGCCACAAAAGGAGAAGACAACTAGATTATACAATCACGGCTCGCTGCAATATTCGCTGACTGGAGGCAGGCAAGACAATGTGACACTAAGCAAACATGCACGGTTGTCGAGCGAATTGCGGTGTCAATCAAAGGTTCAAGATGACAAAAGGTACACCACTTCTGGTCCATGTTGGCCAGCTCTTCAGGCAAATCTGCTCCATGTTTTGCTGAATTGATGCCATGGAAGATGTAACAGCTGTAGAAACACACTCCTGAATTCGGTTCCAGAACCCCTCGTCCGGAAGAGCAACTCTCGGCGCTTGCTCGGTGACTCGGACCCATCTAGCGCTGCTAGTGCATGAGTTTGATCAGAATCCTCAACATCAATCGGGGCATTCATGGCTTACTACCAGTTCCTTCAGGGGTCCCTTGAAAGAAAACTTGAGCTAAAAGGGCCTGAATTTCAAATAGGGACGCTTTGCTGGACATTATTTTGGTGGATTCATGTCCACCGGGGCCCTATCAAAATTCATACTCATATGGAACCTGTTTGGATTTATTTCTCCAACATGGGAACTTCGCATCAAACGGCACGCGTGAATGGACCCCCTAGGATCCCGACGAGGGTCCGCAAATGGGCATATTTCGCGGCCGCTGTCATTGAAAAAGGTGTCAAAGACCGCAGCGGTGCTCATTTTGAGCAAGAGTTTAGCTCGTACCAGATACCACCCCCGTTTGGATGACCACTTCTATTTTAATGAAGGAGACGAACCAGCTACACACGATCATGGCAAGACTTCGTTCAAGAGTACCCCGCAAAATCATTCTAGTTGCTGGGGCCATACGGCCCGACACCATGAGGAAGAGTGGCTCTCCATTGTGCGGGCTCTGGTGCAACACTTGACAGTGATTCAAGTTTTGACATCATGCAGGCGCGTGCATTTTACAAACAGCAGTACAAAAGTCAAAAAACGGCGGTTGTTGCATATGCGAATATACATGCAATATAATATATAATATGTGTGGTTCCATGCAAAACATTCATTCAACGAAACAAAGCCACCAAACACCCAAACCACACAAATTGTACACATATAAATGCACAAAGGGTGTACATCTAAAACATCATATATATATATATATATGTATATATCTATATGTTGAGACATTGAATGAACACACGTGAACTTATATAAATATATATATATATATATAATATGACTTTATTACCTGCTACCCCCGCTCCCCAAATGAGCGCGGCTCAGCGGCTGGAAGTTGAGCACGGCGAAGGCCCACAGCGCGTTGGCGATCTGCTGGGGCCGACAGCGCTGCACGAAGTGCCGCGTGAGCTCCAGGAGGTTCTGGAAGCCTGGCGTTAGGTGAGGTTTTTCACGAAGATTGGTGCGTTTCCCTGCATCGCTTTGGAGCGGGCTACAAGTCATTGCGCCCTGAGTGCGTCAGAGCTGGGGCACAGCGGCAAGACGGAGCCTATCTACGTTTGGGCTTCTCTGGTAAATGTGACCCTTTCAGAGAAAAATAGGTGGATTTCAGCCTGGTAAATGGGATTCCGCTGGTCAATGGAACTCGCTTGGGATTTTGCAGGTTTTTGGAAGGGCGAGAGATAATTGTCGTTGTCGCCGTTTGTGGGGAAAAAACCGGTGTCAATGCAGCATGTTTGTTCGGTAGTGGTCAAGGCTAGCGGAAATTGAATGCCAAATTGGCGTTCCGAAAGTTGAATAAGAAGCTTCGGTTTCGGAGTTGGCCTTTGGGTTTCGATGGAAAAAACGGATGGCATAAAGCCCATCTAAACCAGTGGAAGCCATTTCGCACCAATTTTGAAATCATGGTTGCAACCAGTGCTCGTTGGCATTAACAGAATCGAAACATTCCGGGGCTTCTTTGGTGGTGCAGGATTTCCTCCATCCACATTTGGGACCTTTTGGACAAATAGATGGGGTTCACTCGCACATGGAATTCAACTCCTGAGTGCTATGGAAGATCAGCTGATTTCAACGTATATATCCAACACCTGAAATAAGAATTGGATTCCCACATAAAGGACCTTTACTATGGTGAGCTCGTTTTAATTTCAGGTGAGCTCGCCGTAAATTATGCAGATAAATGGATTGCGCTGCTACATGGAACTCACTTCCGATCGAGTGGATGCGGGCTTTAAAAAGTGACCAAACTTGCTAATTGCCACCAAAAAGGCCTTCCCAAAAAAAACAGGAAATCAGGGAGTGAGGGCATGACAGCAATCTTTAAACCAGTGCCATCTATCTCTCACCAAACTAGGCTAAAAAGGACCCCTATGCTCTCGATTCGAAATGGAACCCATTGATGGGTGTGCCTTGTAGGACTCTCAGTTTGCTGGGGGTGTCCCTTTCAAACTCCAAACAAAAGTAGATTCAAGCAAGGACACGCTCTCTTTGGGTTTGGGAAGCCGACAGGGTTGGCTTTACTCGCTTCCGATCGGGTGGAGTGGCAAAAACACGCTCGAACTTTTTGATTACAACTAAAATTGCTTGCAAAAAAGGGATGAATTCCCAAATGGACTCGGGAGTGATGAACCTTTTTGGGTTGGGTTTGGGAAACACAAAGGATGGGCTTTAAACTGATAGCAACGAGCTGCTTGAAAGTGATTGGCATTACGTGCGAGTTGGTAGCACACCCAAGATTTCACACGGGCAGCGGCCCAGACAGGGTGCATCAGGGTGCCCTCTATTTCCCTGCAACACACACACAAGCAAGCTCACTTGAGTCATAATCAAAACCCGGTATTAAAATGGTCGACCCAGAACCATGTAAAGAATTAAGAACCACGGGATTGCCCCTTGCTAGCCTTCATCTACCCGGGTATTGATTGTGCATGGCTCACTTGAAACTTGCAAAAATGGCGATTCTTCACCCCCAGAAAGAAAGGAGCAATCGGTAGCCCTGCCAACTAAACCCCCGATTTGCGCCTGGATCCTGATGGATCTCTTCGAGCGGCGTGCGTCCGCCGTCGTCCTGGAGACGACGTCCCGGTCCCTGAGATTTTTCAAGGGACCAAGGGACTCGCTGGTGATCTGGTTGTCTTCGTTTCGCGAAACCGACGCAAAACGGCTGGCCTCCTTCGAGTGCCCCTGAACCGACCAAAACAGGTTAAAATTTCTGAGGGTATGGTTTAAAGGGAAACCGACAGGAACCACCCATTTTGGAGGTTCTTCTTTGAGACAAACCCGACATGGGGCCCTTCGGCAAATGCAGCCGACGCAACGTCGCTCACAGAGCCGCTGTACGGCATATACCCAGGAACACCCCAGGTACCGAAATGCACATCTGATCTGCAGTACCGAGTGGAACGCCTCATCCCGAAACACACACCTGTGGCCGTTGCTCAATGTTACGTGGGTCCCAGCAAAAGAAATACCTCCAAATGCCAATGAACTCGAAGGGTTTGCCGCAGCCCGGGCAAAAGTTCTTTAGATGGGGGTTGTACGAAATAACTTTGCCCGGGACCCCCCCAATCGCCAGCCAATCGCGATACAATTTCGATCGCACAGGGTCCAATCGCGGAGCAACGTTGGGCATCGCTGCTGCTTCTGTTTCGCTTTTCGCTGTCTTATCTCAAGCGCTGGCCTTCGTCCATCCATGCCCGGAAGTAGGAAGGAAGTGACATGGCTCGGATGGGCAGGGGCTCACTGGTGGAACTCGTCCAATTGCGGTCCAATCGCGGAATTCGGCCAACTTCGGTTTGCAGCTTCCAGCCCATGCCAGCCATCACATTGATTTAGAAAGCCTTCTCTGGGCCATTCAGCATTCCAGAGGGAACTTTGTGCGAGCCCGCGCGGTCAAAATGAGCGAGATGTGCCTCGGCACCACTACCTAAACAACGTGCAGCGTCTAAATTCGCAATAATTTCTTAGCCCTTTCGCGGTCCAATCGCCGGCCTTTCGCGGGTCGCGCCAATCGTGCGGTTCAACAAGTTGCCGCTGTTCATAACTTTTAGACATGCAAATGCGGACAGCCCCCAGATGGGAATCTCAAGCAATCAACTAGGACTAGGATGTCTACTTGGGGGCGTGGCAATGGGTTGCCAGGGTTAGGGATGGGAATCTCAACTAGAACGTTGGGGTCCCCTACATTTCCCCTTTCAGCAGCACCCAACATAAAGGAAACTCGCCAAAATAGCACCTCACAGCCACTTTGCCCCGACCGGGAGGCACAGTCCTCTCTGTACAGCTTTGCCGCGCGATGCAAAGCCGTCACCGCGTTGAGCTCGTCCATGAACTTGCGGGGAGCAAATCAAGTTGGCAACTTATCTGGAAATGATCATGACCGAGTGGATTGGCCAAGCAACAAGACTCCCAACTTGTTGTGTACTGCTAACATGGTCCAAACCCAAAAAGTGACTGAAGTCCGAGTTTCGGAACTCGGAGAGTGAGTAATGCCCAAAAGGTCCCAGCAAAGGAGTTGTAAACACCGTGGTTGAAGTAGTTCCCTCGCGAAAGGCTTTCTGGAGGGGTAGGGGGTAGGGGGTTTCCAGTTATCTCTCTCACACTCTCTCTCTCTCTCTCTCTCTCTCTGCGCCTGTCTTCTCACAACGAATATAAAAACCAACGAATGTGAAAACAATGGATTTCAAACTCTTTAGAGATTTCAGAGCTGGGCACCGAATCGTGGTGGACGATTGCAAGCAGCAACAGGGTCTAAAATTTGGTGAAGCCTCCTTGGAGCCTTTGTCTCCCCCTCAATGACATGAGCTCGTGCTCTTACAAGGCAACCACTCTAAGGAAACACCCCTTTTGAACCCCCCACGTTTTTCCACGGGGAAAAAACAGCACAAACCAGGCCGCTGGTCGTCTGGGAGGGTTTCTGCTTGCGTGGTGTTCCCATTGGATGCCCCATAAAACTCGAGTTTCGGGGAAAACAACAACAACAAAAACAAAAAACAACAAAAAGAGCGGCGGCCTCGCCGCGCTTCAGCGCATGCTGCAGCACCTGGCGCCAGCTCCCCAGGCGCATGATCTCCTTTCGGCCGATTTTCTCAGCGGATCCCCGGCCGCTGGGGAGTATGTGGGCCAACATGAAAGGAATTTGACCCCAGTTTTTTTTTCATCCGTTCCATTTACCAGGGCTTGCCCCATTTTGGGGTTAACCCATTTTTGACCAACCATATGAACAAAAAGTACGAACCGACTACTAAAAAAAAACAAGAGGGGGGAACACAGGGAGGAACATCCGCAAGAAGCGCATCCAAACCGTTTTCTTGAGTCCCGGAAAAGAGGGGAAGGTTGGCCTGGATGCCTTCAATATGTTCTTCGGACCATAAGCCGATTCTGAAGTCGTTGGGAAGCCATATAAAGCGAAAATAATTGAACTTGGCGCATCTTTTGAGGCCTGTCCTTGGAGAAGCGAACCAAACAAATCTTGAACAGATATCCCCCAACGAGGTCCCCACAAACGAGCAAGTTTGGTAAACTGAAGCGCTTTGGCATTCACCAAGATCTGGGCGTGTCTCTCTTGGTACCTTGCGGCGCCGTTACCCATGTGGGGGTGCTTCTTCCTGCAACCATGCTTAGATTATCACTTTTCAGAAACTCCCCTTACAGACAGTTTAAACAGCTTCCGGCTGTGACTGTTGACAGGCTGTCCAACCAAAGGGCGAGCATCGGGGCTAACAAGCACAACGCGGTGCCGCTGTGTATGCCGCAGCTTGTTTGCTTGCTTTGCGCCAAGCTTCACCTGTTCTGAGGTTGATGCGCTAAAGCACTTGGAGCTCTGACTTGCGCTGTGTCTCTCATACTAAACGCTCTCAGCATCACTTCCACGGGCTGAACTGGACCGAACAATGAATTGCGGGAACGTCAACACCTCCAATGGAAATTTGACTTGGGTGCCGTGGCGAAATCGATCGGAACTTGACCCCGTTGTCAAGACCCCCCGGCTTTGGACAAGCACCTGAACTCGAACATGGCTGCCAGCGCCTTTGAAGACTGTCCCAAAAGATCCAACCGCGGCAGATTCTCGGGAAACTGTGGGAGGAACAAAAAAGGCAGGAGCCAAAGCAACACAAACAGGACAAAGAGGACTCCTTTTGGCTGTGCCCCTCTCAAAAAACAAAATGGACCGGAATTCTGGTGTAGAAGCCCTCTTGACGGTGTTTCTTTTTCCTCTAGGTCCTCTTGGGGTCAAAGGGCAAACCAGCCAGGCCGCTATAGACGCATGCAACCACAGAAGGCTTGCAAAGTTCCCATCAAAAGATCACAAGCAAACAGCCCAGGCTTAGACCATCAACCTGATGAATCTAGTTCCGTGCACACTCTTGGAAGACTGGGGAATATTTATGTGTCTCTCCTGAGCCGATCAATCAAAGGGAGCTCGGTTGACCTAACAGTGGTCCTCATATACATCTGTCGTGAATCTGTTCGAGGGCAAGTGAGACGAGAAGGGACCAACCAATAGATATGTACAACGTGTCAGGGGTTCATGTTTGACCCCTTTGCCTGGGGTGGATGAAGAGCCCATTGTTCCCACCACAAAAAGTCAATAACATCTCATTAAAAAGGCCCCAACAAAACAAGGCATGCCTCCCCAGCGACGCAGTCCCGAATGATAAAACAGACTTCAAAGGCAAACGTATGAAGGAAACGCTGGCTGCAAAAGGACCTTGCTAATTAGAAGGTTCCGCCAACTCAACCACACCATTTAGGGGTCCGCTGATTGACACCGATCTCCCCCCTCACCTCGTTGATCGGCACAGTCTGGATGCCCATGGTGTCCCGGCCGCTTGCGCCCGCGCCGCATGGGCGCTTGCGGCGGCGCTTTTCGTTTTTCAGCTGGGAGGGTGTAAGCCGAACACCGGAACCTCTCACCTGGGTAATGAGAACCCCAAATGACTCACTCAACCCAGTTTGTTGTTGAGGTGTCCCTGAGCTTAGTGGGAACACCCCTCTGTAGGATGGGTTTGATTCGGGGTCGACATTCTTCCAGTTGTTCAGGAAAACCTGGTAGAAAAAGGGAACCCACTATGGGGCAGACCATTGCCGGTGCACCCTGCAAAGAGGAAACGTTTCAAAGGAAGCCTTGAAAACAAAACAAAATAAACAAACGCCGCATAGAGGAACCCACTGCATGTCAGCCAAACGGAGGATGATTTGAAGGACCTTGTTGGGGGGTCCTTTACGGGAAGCCATCTGCAGCCCCGTTTTGCGACAATCGTTCCGCATATTTTTCTGACATTCATGGCGTTACCACCTAGGTCCTGGCAGTCGCCGAGAAATGGGTGTCCTAACACAATGTACTTAATTAGAGGCATCTCTTGCTGGGTGATCCCCTTTTGGGCTCCATGTTAATTTGCCGGAGAGTATCTATCGATTTGTGATTTTCCATCAAGTTCACTTGGAACCATAAGGTTGTCGCATAGTGTTGTGGAGGGGAAATCAAGCAGCCGTTCACACAGACTCGCTATCGCTACGGCAAAGGTTGAATGCGTGCCGTGTTTCGCTGAACCTGGCTGATGCGCCCCATGTTTTTTCCAAGCCCAGATGGCTGAAGCGCATCGCGAAAGTAAGGAGAAATGGATGCGCATGGAACGAGCAGCTGGTGTCAGGATCGCTCGACACAACTTAATCCCAGCGCCCACTTGCCGCTGTGCTACAAAAAATGCCACTGGCATGGAACCTGGAACCCACCCATTTGAAAGGAAAATTGTTTTCCCTGACCCCGAAACGTCAAGTTCCAGGTTTGAGGCTTTCCCAGCTTCTCACCTTGAGGACCTTGGGGGCTTCACCAGACAAACTGAAATTGGGGGGATCGCCCTATTTGTGGGTCAAGCGGTTCCCCGTTGGGTTTCTCTCGGACTCAGCCGTGACTCCCAGAGCCCGTCCCTTTCACCGCCAAAGTAAGTGACCAACTGAAAACATTCGAATTCGAGGGAAAGTAGCCGAAGAACGTGTTCCGTTTCACTAGCTGGATACCCAAGTGCAACTGCAGCTCTCACACTTCCTTGCATAGACCTCAAGACGTTGCAAGATATGAGGCATCACAGGTCGCCTTTTCGACGCTGCAAAACCAAAAGCATCGGTGGTTGTTGATTGCTTTTTACCATGTTAGCACTCCAACATGGCTGCGCACAGAGTTCCAAGGGACACCCCCCTTCCCCTACAAACTAGAATCGAACCCAAAACAAACTTCCATTTCGCAACAGGGATTTCCTCTGGTGGTTCTCTGGGCTCCACATAAATCTGCAAAGGAATGAGACCCCATTCAGCGAAGCCCGGTCGACGGGTTCGAACCGCGCGCCGAACCGCGGCGGCTCGAAGCGACCTGAGATCTCAAGCTTTGGGAGCCATCGAGTTGTCGTTGTTCAGTCTTAGACCACCAGGCTCCTGACAATCCGATCCTTTTAGAAATCTGCTTTGGAAGGACCCCTGATTTGGGTTCCACGTTAAATAGGAGAGTCATATATTTCAGTCACCGAAGCAAGCTTAAAAACCCAGCGGATCCCTTCTTCCCTTGCCTGAGGGCTGCCAAGGCTAAATGAACCCAACAAAAACTTGCCGTGGCTTGCCAAAACGACCAACTCATGAAGCCTCTTTGTCGCAACTTCTTTGTTTGGGTCTAGTGGCTGTGGCTCAACCACCCAAAATGGCGACGATTGGCACATGGAAACGGCATATCCCTAGTTCAAACCACGCCGTGATCCTGGGAGATCGGCGACTCGATGGTACGCGGATGCCGTTGGTAGCTTTGAGCAGACTGGGAAAATCCGAGCACTTCCCATAATATTCTGGGTACACCAATAAAACAATAAATGGCAATTGTTGAGTTGAGTTTGCTATGGTCATGATATGTCCCTGCTTTTGCTTGCTTCGTGTTGATAGTCGTGTTTCCTGTGATCACAATCAGCTTCAAGATGGGCCGCACCCCCGCCACGATGCATCACCTGGGTTGCGATCACACACCTGCCACTGCATCATGCAGGTAGCTGCAATGTCCGAGCAAAAGGATTTGAGCATTCAACAGGCACCCAAGTTCCATGCTTGAAGGCGAGAGCACTTACTTGGCTATCGAGGCCATATTTAGCATGGGTTTGTGCTCCAATCAGGACCCCGCCCCACCTGGCATGCACCGCTAGTGTGTGCAGGGTCTGCCTATTCAGCATCGTTGTTCAGGCGCATCCTGTCTGCTGCTCATTTCCCAGTAAGTCACCTAGCGCGTTCGCAAAATCGAGGGCAGCCAGGTGCAAGACGCGTCGCGGCTTTTGTAGAGATTCCCCTTCAAAATCCTGCAAACATCACCGCAAAGGACACTCACTTCAAATGGCCTGGGCAACTCAGGTCTTTGGACAGTCTCCCACATTGAGCTATGCCGTGGCCGTACGCCGTACAGTGTTTTCAACACATAACAGCCGCGTCACCCTCCTTGAATGTAACCCAGCTGTTTAGAGAACACGTCGCCGAAATCCCAAGTCGAACAGGGCCCAGACTCTTTCAAACCCATTCCGATGCAACCAAAGGATCCGGAGCAAGAAACCCTCACAATGGATCTACCCTTAGTACGTCGGCAACCGGCAAATTTTCCCGGTATTGAAAGGGGTGGCATGCCCTTGGCAACTCACCTTTTCGGCTGTGTTCTTTTTAGGGGACACCCACGGGCAAACCTGCCCCAAACTCACCGCTTCCCGGACGAATGTTCCGGGCCCCGGGCTGTGCCCGCGCTGCGCGAGCTTGGGGCCTGCGGCGGAATTGGCGCTTGCGAAGGGAGGCCGGCTGATCAAAACGGAGGGCATGCGGGATCCCTCGCTGGGAGAAACAAAGCAAAGAATCCACTCTGATCAACTCGGGGTCAATTGATAACTCGGAAGATGTTTGTGAAAGATGGGAACTCGGCCAAGTTGGAGCGAACTTGTGCCATGGAGCCCAAACACAACCCTTGGAGTCTCCTTCTGTGGGCCTCTTCTTGGAGTGTTTTTTTTTGTTTTTAAAGTTACAGCTTTACTTTGGCTGGGCAGGGGGGGGACGTCCTATTTCATCGGTTTGGGACTTTCAAGTTCGCATCGGGAAGGTGGGAACAAGGATCACTGAGAGTTGAACCCCAGCTCCTTTTGAAACTAAATGCGGAAGGTAGCCCTTAATGTCCAAATCACAAAAACAAACCACCAATTAGGGGAAGGCTGATTCACACCATTCCATGTGGAATATATATATATATATAGTAATATGTTTATGTATTTCCATGACTATGTGTGTATATATATATATATGGGAGCCGCAAGAAACACCGAGCCGGCATCGCATCTCGAACGGCTCAGGCCTCAAATTCCGCGCCTGGCAGACAAGGCTCGATTGATTTTGGACTTGAACTGTAGAGAGGGTAAATGGGAACCGACCCCTTCACCACCCAACCACCAATCCAAAGCACCTTGATGGATGCTGACCATTTGTCTTTTAGGGAGACCTCCCAAGCGTGGTTTTCCTTTGCCCTCCAATCCACGTTGCTATGGAACTCGTTTTGGGGCCCTGGAAGTCCCCTTTCCTGCAAAAACATGACCCTCTGCTAGGTTCCATGTTAGTGGATTGGAGGGTAGTCCCCTTAGCAACAAAACAGGCACCCTCAAACAAGGACCCTTTAGTGGACATTGAGGGTGTTCATCTCCACCTACTATGAAATGGTGGCCCCCAAGTGCAAATCAAAGCAGGCGGGGGGTATCAATAAGCTAGGAATACAAAGTACTGCTTTCGGCTGGCAATAATGTATACTAGTCTACCTCGTCCAAATGCGCCTACCTAGTTTTTTGGGCTTGGTAGCGACTCAACCTCATGGCGGTCAACGGCAACCAGTACGAGGATTCTTTACCTCGAGATGTTTGCCGAACCCGAACACACACCATATGTAAAGCAAAACGCCTGCCGCCTTTTGGCAACGGACCCCCTCATCTTTTTCTGGGGGGTTTGGGGGCTTTCTTCCGTCAAGAATTGGGGGGGTAATTGAACCATGGCCGTGGCCCAGTTTTCAAGGGACACTCACTTGGAAGCCTCTGAAAAAAGAAAACCGGGCGCCGCAAAAACCAGGCAAGTGTCCCTCTGAAACAAATGCGGCCAACACAGTATTTACCTGAAAGGAACTTCCTTTGGGGCATCCCGTCAGTTCTCCACATGGTCGCTGGATTTGCGAGGTGTTGCACCTGTGTATCTTTTCTTCCGCTTAACGTGGGGGTGGACGCCTATCGCTACTGATCCGCTTGGCTCCAAAAAGTCTGCCAGGCCTTGCATCTGGTCATACTGCCGCCGCCTTGGTCGTTTCAAGCGCCGGGAATGGCACAAGAATCGAGAGGAACGAACCGGGGGGGGAGGGTTTTTCACGGGTTTGAATTTTTGATTGGCTCCTGATTCCAACTGACAATCCAAATGGAAAAAACACCAACACATGGCCTGAGAGCAGGGACGCAGTATATAGCTGGCCGGGAACATGAAGGCTTGTATGGCCTGAGGCACAACATGAACCATAGGGCGCTGAATCGGTCTCATTTCGAAAATGCCAAAGCAGAACAAATCAGGGTGACCGGAGACACCGTTTCATGGCCAGGTATGTGTCAGAATATGGGAATCTTCCAAATTTGTTGGTTTGCCTTTTGGTTTTCCTCTAAGCCAACCCGAAAAGGGGTACCCTCAAAGCACACGGTTCACTTTGCTTTCTTGACCCTGGGGGAGCAACCCATCACAAAGGATCGGGGCGATTGAGATCCAGGGCCATGTGTCCAGTCGAATGGCACCTCACTTGTCGAGTCTAGGGGCTCTTGCGAGGAACGGGTTGCATGGCTGTGGGTCAAAACCAATGGTACCATTTTGGGCTAGGTGCACCACCCACTACAGTCTATTTTAGTGTGGATTGGGATGTTCACTGGGGCTTTGACCCAGGGCCACATGTTCGGATGGATATCTCTTCTTCAGTTAAGAAGCTATGGCTCTATGTCCGCCACCTTGTCCCATCAAAAGCCATGGTTGCAACCTACGAAGTGGATTGATGGATTGAACATCCAAGAAACTGGGAGCTAAACCGGTCTGAAAAAATCAACAATTTCCTATCCCCTTTTTAAGGCCCTTTTTGGTTTCTCTTTGTGTACATGCGCCGG